TCGTGCTATAACCACAGCAATCAAAATCCAATAATATTTTATTTAGTCATGTACATAGCAGAATAAACATCATCAGGGAGTAATATAAAATTGAAGAGTGAACGTCAGACACTCATCAGATTTCAACTAATTTGACTTGATATAAAAAGTGTAAAATAAAAATTTAACTGACTGTGGTTACCTGAAGGTGAAATATCGAAGACTAGCATTTGTAAATTAGTAATACACAAAACGACACCATAAACGCCATTGAAATAGCTTAATTTTGATGTGTATCTGCGCCTGAGTGTACCTACCTGAGCAACTTTATATTATTATTGTTTCCTTTAATTCCTAGAGGGACATAAGGCTTCAGCCGTGCGTCTCCATTGAGTTCGGTTCTCTGCTAGAGTCTTCACCTGGCTCCATGTCTGTCCACACGTTTTCATCTCCTCTTCACATGACCTCCTCCAAGTCACCCTCACACTGACGACCAACTGGCCGCTTCCCTTTCGGCCGGGTTCCACTCGAGCAATGGCTTGTCTAGTGATGTCACTTGATGGTTTCCTCTGAGTATGGCCAGCCAATCCATCTCCATTTCTTCCTGCCTGTTTGTTTCACAATCGGATCCTTCTGTGTTGGTTCGCTCCCAGAGATCCCTCCCTGTTGCTGATCTTTTCTGGCCATCTGATCTCGAGTATTGAGCGAAGACAACTGGCTGTTAATGAAGGTCTGTAGTTTGTTTGAGATGCTCTTTATGACGCGCAGTGCAAGTCTCTGATCCGTATAGTAGCACTGACTTCACATTGGAGTTGAAAATCCGGATCTTATTTTCGATGCTGAGTGCTGTTGACCTCCACACAGACTTGAGAGTAGTGGAAGCTTGTCTTGCTTTCCCGATTCTTGCTTTGATATCCTCGTCAGTTCGGCCTGTAGTTGAAACAATGCTTCCCATGTAGGTAAAAGAGGTTGTTTCATTCAGGTTCCTCCCATTTATGCTGATTGTTGTTTGTTGTTGTTGTTGCTGTTGGTGGTATTGCCCAGGAATCTTCATCACCTCTGTTTTCTCTATGTTCACCTGAAGTCCTATCTTTGATGCTTCTTCTGCCGAGCTGAAACTGTGACCAGCACAAACAACCACAGGGTAGAGTTAACAGTGATATCATAGTCTATCTAACTGAGTGAAAATACTTAGTCAAAGGTAATGAATCCTTTCCAACTTGTACATGTGTCAGCTAGTAAATTTACAATGCGATTGTATCAGTTACACTTATTACAACTACTTATTTTTTTGTAGTACGTGTGTTGAGAAATACCGGCCATACATAACAGAAATACTAACAACTGCCTACACGGAAGGCTGGTGCATCCTACTTATTCAGAAGTAATATGCAGACGTTTTTTGTGATCATTAATTATGTTACTTTGTCTGTTGCTGCACTAGACATTTCAGTCATTTTTATGCTGATTTGTTATTTCTGAAGAGGAAACATGCAGATGAATCATCACAGATAAAAATATATCTTAGAGAGAGAGAGAGAGAGAGAAAGTTGACACAGGCAAGCTAATGTGCAGACGTGTGGAAAAGTTTCTTGCAGTTATTATTACTTTTTTTTCTCAGAGAAATTCAACCGGTGGGATAATTATTTCTAAGGTATAATATATTCCTAGGTGGGTATATAGCATGCTTATGAGAAAAAAATATATTCTGACATCTCAAGTTTGATAATTTTTACAAATGATTTTAGAAGATAATTATTCATTCACCAGCTCGACAGCATAATATGCCGATATGATAAGAGAGAAAGCAAGCAAACTAAGATAACCTGCTTCACTTGTTAAAAGCTCAGTGTTTGTGAAAGCTCTTTCCCTCCATGTATACAGATAGCAAACATTTTGTAATCACTGTGATATGGTGTAAGCTTTTCCAAAGTAATATGAATATCATAATTTAATTGTATTCAAAGGATATAGTGTTTTTGAAGTTTTATTATTTTTTTTTAATGTAGTTCACAAAAGCATAAACATTCACTAACCAATAAATCATAGAAAGATTTTAGTTGAAATTAACAATGACTGCAGTTCAGTGTTCTTCTTGAGAGAACTAACAATAACTTGACAGTGCTTAAGAGCAGTTTCATGATATCTTAGATTTTTTGATATCTGTTAGTGTTCTTAGTATTTCACCAGAGTAATTTTAAGATTTCCAATAAGTGTTCTGACCTTGTTTTTATTGGGTTTTTTTAAGATAGTTCATTTGTCACATGGATTTCAATAAATTCTAATAAGAAATAGGAGTCACTAAGGTTCATCGGGTAAGATGCGAAGCAGATGCTCGTTGACGGCATTCATAAGCAGCTGCGCTTTATAGTTGGTTGACAAAAGTAAGGATCCACGAGTCGCCGAATTCCTACTGGGCTACCGATAAGTCAGTCGCAATGCTTCGTAACCTGAAGTACTCGGGTTCTATTCATGATAGCGTCGTTGGTGAACACTACTGAACAGCCCTGAAATGGAACGAAACAGCTGTCCAGTGCTTCATGGTGTGCACACTTCTCCCACCAATGTCAGGTTTTTACAAAATCATCACTGAAAGCAGTAGAAATTCATAGGATATTGAAAAATCCAAGTACATCACTTCATGTTTATTATATTTATTATAAGACCAATCCTCATCGTTTTCAATACCAATATTTATATACGTCTACCTTGAGCAGTACAGGTTCCCAACATAAGACTCTTATAATTTCCTCAAGTCATGACGCTTCTGCAGTTTACTGGGCAGTTGTTTTTTTTACACTGAATATCATTTTATCATGATTGACATTCCAGAGTACAAACAAACGTGGCGCTTCAAACGGATATATATAAATAAACAATTTAGTTCACCAGATACTTAGTCTAACCAGTTCTATTCAACGTACTACGTATGCTCCGTAATGCATGAGTTCAGTGTCACTGACATCATAATGATAAATAAAGCTCAATTTTTTCTGTTAACCATTGATGGACAAACATTACAGAAAATTTAAGGTATCCATAGAATCATTTTTAAAATATAAAAAAGCCCAGAATTCTTGCTACTACTAAATATGATCATTACAAACTCACTTTTACAACTAAATACTTATTAAGAAATAGAATATATCTTTTCCAGTGGTTGTATACTCGAGTTAACAATCACCTTTCCCCTTTTCATACACTGATTTTCTGCCAGTGATTTTGAATACACTTAATCTCAGAGCAGAAGAGAGCTACAGCATATTCCAGTCTTTATTAATTTACCTGACACAAAGGACCTGTTTCAAATGATGTCTAAACGATAGTCATTCTAGGTTGTTTAGCTGCTGTCATTATTTGCCATAGGATTATTGTAATCTTTTTATATTCCACACTGTAAAACTAAATAATTACTTTATGAGATATGTGTTGATAAGGATGTCAACAGGAAAATCATGCATTCAAAAGATTTGTAGCTCATTTGGATGATAATGAATTAGTCGTCTTCTCTGAGCTGGTTGATTTCCTTGCGAAGCTTACGTTGTCCATCTAGACAACATCGCTTCAGCACAAGTTTTAGTATAAAATGAACTCACTTAGATTCTCCATGAGTGATGATGTAACTGTATCACTTGACAACCGCTGTTGTCACTGGATGTTAATATACGTCTCTACAGATCATTTTTATTGACTTGGAATTTGAACTTTCTTGTCATGTGATTCACTTTTTATTGGCTGGTAAATTCGGTCTATATTGATGTGTTTGTTAATACCTGATTCATTTGAGTAGCAGGCTTCTAGGAATTCCCTGGCACTTTTGGTGTCCATAATTGTCCACTTGCGCTGATACGAAAGAATATATATCATGTCTTTCTACAACCGATTTGTGTTCTTGGATTTGGATTCGAAGAGAATGCCCACTTTGACCGATGCAATGTATATTGCAGCTCAAACAATTTATTTTGTGAATAATATTAATTTCATCTTCTGTTTCTGTTGGATCTTTTGGTCTACCCAATATCGAATGAAGTGATTGTGCTGCTTGTGTGCTATGTCTATTTCAAACAGTCTTAATATTCTAGCTGTTATTTCAGAGATATTTTGTATGTGCTATAGGATGAATTTTCTTGTAATCCTTGATGATGGTTTCTTGCTGGTGTTGTGACTCGATTTTAAACACTTTTTGATGAAATTGTGAAGATATCCATTCTTTTTGAAGATGGCTAGTTGGTATTTTTCCTCCATTCTCTTCAACTCCAGATTGATACAGTAGGTTTGAACTCTTTTAAAGAATGTCTGCACACAGTTTCTTTTGTGAATAATCACGTTCTTACTATTATAGTTGAGTATTTGGTATGTGTGCGTTGATTTTCTAAATACTTGTGTTTCTAAATTTCCTGTGTTAGTTCTCTTGATTAAGACATCTAAGAATGGAATTTCGCCGTCTAATTCTTCTTCTCTTTTGAATCCGATGTCTTCACATATGCTATTTATTAATTTGTGGGTATATTATAAATCATTTCTTTTAATTAATACGAATATGTCATCACCGTAACGTAACGAGATTTTTGGTTTACTTATAGGTAGGGCTCTTAATTCTAATATTTGCATAACGGCTTCAGCTATTGATCCTGATATGGGCGATCCCATTGGTGTTCCTTTTATCTGTTCGTATATTTGAGTATTGAATCGAAAGTATGTTGTAAGACATAATTCTAGGAGTTTCATCGAAGTTGAACATTGCTTTCTGTGTTTTCATAGCCATTATAGTGGTTATTGCATAGTTTCTTTTGCTAGTTTTGGACCAGTTGAAGTATATAATGCTATATACATATATGAGTATATAACTAGTAAGTTAAAACTAACCCCTTTTAAAGATAAAGTTTGTAAGAGACAAATAAATTCATGTGGCTGTCATGTTTGTCACAGTAATTTTTCTTCAGTTTATTTTCACACACTGTTTATGCAAGCAAATAAATAATAAAAAAAATAAATAAAACCTTTTATTCTTTCTTTTTTAGGGAACACTATGAATTTCGAAAGTCTACAGAGCAATAGTGGTCAGGTGATGGGTGATTCGTCTCATTTCTGCCATCAACATCACCATCATCAACAACAGGGGTTGGTATCAACCACCCTGAGAAATATAATGCCTTCTGGATCATTTGGTTTATCATCTGGAAGTGGTTCATGCACAAGTGCTGTGCCAATATCCTACGGTATGGGAGCAATGGACATTTCCTTGGTTAACTCAAATAAATCGAACTATTGTATGCGTTCATCGCAGAGGCAGGCAATTAAAACACGGCCAACAAACATTGGGCGGCCGGATATCTGATTCTCTAAGAATACTTCAATAGTAAATATAATGTAAATTTTTTTAATGTACTGCATTACTGGAACTTTTATAACTACATAAATATGAATGATTAAAAAAACAACAACATTTTATTTACTGCATTTTTATATTTCGAAAGCTTAATAATATCATCAGCATGCTTTATTATTCCATTATTTACTTCATCAAGTTACCTTGTAAATTATGTCATTTTTATGCTACTTCTTGTTATCAACTTTAAAAGTAATTTGCACAAAGGCAAACAAACACACTCCATGCTCATTTTTGTATATAGATGAGTCTACTAATAATTTCAGCTACCCTTGATTTAAGAATAGTATCTCTTTTTATTTCCTTTGAATGGGTGTCTTCGATCTACCGGAATACTAATCCTGATTTCACTGCACGATAACACCAACATCAGGTCTATTCAGATGTGTGGCATTGAAATGGTGTCAAGAATTTTGCGCTAGTCAGTGAGATAATTGTTCATTCGAAATAAATAGCAATGAAATAATCTGAAAGAAATCAACACTTATAAAGAACAAATAATATCAAATTAGCGTTTGTATCAACGTTCTTAAAATACCCGGCCTGTTGTTATTGCTTTTTTTAGAAACAAAGAAGAGTACTTTCGTAATTGCGTAATTATAAATTGCCCATTAAACTGATTCCGTGTTTCTTCATCTGGTTTCCTATAAATATGTATATTTTTTTGGTTAAATAAATTACTATTATCTTTGAATCCACTTAGTTGACGAGTAATTTCTGCTGGATGTATTAAAATCTTTCCAAATACACATGAAAGGCAACACGAAGTAACCCTCCGTTTTCCAAACGTCCTTATATGCTATAAATCACTGTTTGCCTAATGGACGACTGTATTAAAATATTTAACGACGTTGCTTTCAGGTAAGTGAGAGATAGCGACCTCATTAAACGAGTGAATAAGCTTGTCTTGCGGATAACTCACAAGGTTATTGCTGTTTCGCAATACAGTAATGCTAATGTCACTTATTTGTACATTTCAACGGTCTTTTCTGATGACATGGTTTAACATCTTTATCCCTCCATTTTATTATTATTGTATTATTGTTTCCTTTAATTCCTAGAGGAACATAGGGCTTCATCCGCACGTCTCCATTGAGTTCGGTTCTCTGCTAAAGTTTTCGCGTAGCTCCAAGTCTGCCCACACGCTTCCATCTCCTCTTCACATGACCTCCTCCAAGTCACCCTCACCCTTGCACTGACGACCAACTGGCCGCTTCCCTTTCGGGTTCCACTCGAGCAATGGCTAGTCTACTGATGTCACTTGATGGCTTCCTCAGAGTATGGCCAATCCATCTCCATTTCTTCTTGCCTATTTGTTTCAAAATCGGTTCCTGGTTGCTTTGCTCATTGCCAGAGATCTCTATTGCTGATCTTTTCTGGCCATCTGATCTTGAGTATTGAGCGGAGACAACTGTTAATGATGATCTGTAGTTTGTTTGAGATGCTCTTTATTATTATTATTTATGACGCGCAGTGCAAGTCTCTGATCCACATAATAAGTAGCACTGACTTCACAATGGAGTTGAAAATCCGGATCTTATCTTCGTTTTGATGCTGAGTGCTGTTGACCTCCACACAGACTTGAGTGTAGTGAAAGCTTGTCTTGCTTTTCCGATTCTTGCTTTGATATCCTCGTCAGTTCCGCTTGTAGTTGAAACGATGCTTCCCATGTAGGTAAAAGAGGTTGTTTCTTTCAGGTTCCTTCCAATTATGCTCTATTTTATAGAATACTTTAATAGATCTAGGTGCATAAATGGCTGGTGATGTGTTAAAGTACTCATTATTCTCATTTATTTTCCTTCTAAATAATTTGCACTTAACTAACTGGTTTTTGGCAGTCATGAATAAGCATATTTCAGATAATACCCAGCACAATTCATTCAGTGTTCACTATCTTAAAGGCGACTTTGTTTATTTTGAAAAATAGTATTAAACACGTCAATTTTGAAGCTGTGCCATCTAACCTCAGTAATATGGAAACAAAATGAGATTAATTTTTGTTTTTACATCAAAAAATAACGGAAAGTTTCAGTCATTACTGTCCTTTATTAAATTATAACTGAGTTCACTACAGTCCATTTCGTCCGTTCGTGTTATTTATCCTTCAGATGTAAACATTCCGTTTCCTATTCAAGTTCCATTCGAGGACCTATCGTGCGATGCCACTCAGTGGTTTCCTTAGTCTATCTGATCCATATCTGCTTTCTTCTACATATTTGTTGGTCATTAGATTTCTGGTTGGTTCGTTTCCAGGGTTGCTTGTTGCTACTCCTCTCTGGTCTTTCCAATACAGGTGGGACGGATGAGGATGTCAAAATGAGGGCTAAAAAGTCATCATCATAGACCATCATCGGTTTGAAAATCTACTACACTCAGTGTAAAGAACAGGATTCGGATTTTCAACATTAATGTTAAGTCAGTTCTTCTATAAGGGGTAGAAACTTGAAAACATTTCTGACAGCCTACTGTAGACTCTTACCAACAGCTGCCCTCGCTCCGTATTGAAGATCAAATCACAAGCCAGTAAGAATTAGCAGCCAGAAACTCTGGGGACGAACCGAAGAAAATGGAGACAGACAGGACACATGCCTGAGAGGCCATCGAGTAACAACGCACGCCAGGCCCTCGAGTAGAATCCGGCTGGGATACGAGTTGGGTGTGGGCCTAAAAGTGATATGGAGGAGATCTTGTGATAGGAAGATGAAAGTTTATGGGCAATAGTGAAGCCAGCTAAACAAAACTGCATCGAATAGGAAAAAATGGAGACATGCTGTTGAAGCTCTATGTTCCACTAGAAACCCAAGGGTATAATAATAATATAATAATAAATCCTTTGTGACTGCTGGCTATCTGATATTCATTGTGGAGCGAAGGCAGCTGCTGATAAATGTCGGAAGCCTGATGGAAATGCTTACAGTGAAATACGAGCCAAGTCCCTGATCCATATCGAATAACGGACGTAACATTGGTGTTAGAAAGCCGAATTTTAATTCTTATGCTGATTGCAGTTGATTTCGTAGCGATGAATGTCTATGTCACCTTTTCACTTCTGCCTCTGACATCATGTTCGCTAGAGTTAATCTGATGATGGGTAAAAATATTAAATATTCACAGTCTCGTATATTATTAAGCAATGAAAGAAGAGGAATTTCTAGGCTAACCACTTTATTTTAGGACATCACTCCCGATGGTTCTATGTTCAACGACAATAAAAACTTGTGAAAATTAAGATTGAAATTTGTTCTACTACAATACCTTGGGACCATCAACCAGACTGCAATTACTTAGGGAAATGTACTCAGTTTTGTGCAGTAATCTCTATCGACTTCATCGAATCTCCACAAACTCAACAATGGCAACATATTAAGAGTATCAGATGGCGTTTACTATAAGTTGTCCTATAATGTCACTTATAGTTTAACTCCTCCTGGACACATTCAGGCTACTTTCTGCTTTATTCCAATTTTGATAGTAAAGAGTAATATGGATTAGAAATCAAATAAACGATTCACATATTACTTTAAAAGTTTATACTTTCTGAAATTTTGTTGATGTGCTTAACACTTAGCAAGTCAGATTAAATGAATCCGACTGATGTACAGCGGAAGGAAGAAAGTGCACCTTAAAGATACCAGTATCTCTCTCACCATGTATCACTATTTTCCATTTTAATAGCAATGAATGTGACCTGCACATTAGACATATGCATTATCCGAATAGCATACTTCTAACCTGCTCCCACCTAACCTAAATCAGCTACTTAATTGCACCAACTACATTCTCCTTGTAAAAAAGGTCATTAATAACTGCAGAATAGTGTAGAATAGCATCTTTAAGTTTATTCTTATCATTATCAAAAAGCAAACACTATGATAATAACTCCCTTCTCTGTCCTTTTGTATTTATCAAAGCTAATGACTAGCATTGGTAATTTACCAATGCAAAACAGGTAGACACTCAGCTTTTCATATTCTTCATAGGCAAAAGTCATAAGATAGTTGTTAAGTATCACTACTTCAAAAAGCACTGCGCTTACCGGCAATTGATTACTAAGTTTGTACACACTGAAACTGGTCCAAAATAGGCAGCGAAATACAATCTGGTTATCAAAGAAACAAAAGCACCTATAGTGTCGATTACACAAAATACGAAAGTCGATAATAATTAAGTTGTTATGTTAATGAATCCACTGCAGCTATTCTCCCTGCATTAAATATACTGTTCTGCAGCTACATAAAAAGAAAACGTAAGTATGTTTTTTTTGTTGTTGCCAGAAATGCATTATTTAACAGATAGATTAAAAATAAAAGTACTTAGCAATAATATCTCTGAGTGTTTTTCCGCTTTTTGGTTATATTAATATTTTAAAGTCACAAGAAAATGATAAGATTATGGAACAAAAGGCAGGAAAACAGATAAAAAAAAAGTCATCTAGGCGCTTATTACCTGTGGTAATATCAAAGGGAACAACTGTTCAACGAAATTGCAGTACAAACGTTCATTTTCTTATTTAGAGAGAAAAAAATGAATATCCTTATCTGATCATATAAATTTGTTGTTTTTTGCCTAACAATTGGTAACTAACTAATATCTACTTGACAATGTAGAGGTACAAACAAACAACTACAAATGTAATAATCATTCCTGAAGTGGCTCCTAATTATGTTGTTTTCCATCTTTATTTGTTATATTTTTGTGTGAGATAAGAAATGTTAGTTTACTATAGTTATTTTATTGCTAATTATGACAACTAACACTAGGAGGATGTACGTTTAAAGGTTAATCCCCCTATTGTACTTCTAATTCCACCCTTTCCCTCTATCTCTCGTCCCATCCGGAGTAAAGTCTAGACAAGGGACAAAACAATTTTTTTTCAGAAGACTCATGACGTTTAGAGTCGAGTTAACTGAACAAATAGAAGTCTTTAGCATACTCGTAAGTTAATTGTTCACTTAATAATAAATACCAATGAAAATGAAGATTTCCCCATATGATACAACAATGATCAGTTTGTAAAAATATTTATAATACAATGGATGTATATATGACTCATATAGTGCATGCGTTACTTGCACGAATTAAATCGAACCTTCTAAACTCTATTTAACACCGACTGATTACCAGTTATTTATCAAGATAGTATTCATTCAAACGAGTGAACTCATGAGATGTGAATATGATGACTGATAAGAATGAGTAGATCAAATGTATACTTACACATTTGCATAAACATATTTTCAAATTAATGTGTTGACGTCAGCACTTCAACTGTTTCTCACAGTGTCATAAATGACTAATTTTCTATCTCACACCATTAGCTATTTCAACAGACATTAAATATGCTATGCAAAATTAGACCATATAAAAACAGTCAAGATACACATGTTTTAAAGGATTTAATCTGTGTATTATTAATGACTAAATAAAGCATTGAGCTATTTGAAGTCACCATATGAAATTTTTTAAAATATAATTGTGTCCATAGTAGAGCCACTGCTTAAAAGATTCAGAAATGAGCACTGGTTTTGATGTGCTTATGTTCTCTGAGCTGGATAATCAATTTGCGAAGTTTACATCATCCTACTAGGCAACATCTTCAGCGCATACTTCAATTTGAAGTGAACTTTTAGATTCCTCCTGG